CTTCAAAAACATTTTGCTGAGTGAAAGAAACCAGACACAAAAGGCCACTGATTATCTGATTCCACGTGTATGCGATGCTCAAAACAGGCAGATCTATAGACACAGAAAGCAGATGAGTGGTTGCCAGGACCTGAGGGGAGCGGGGAGACAGAATTCTTGACTAGCAGGTACCAAGCTTCTGGTGGCTCAGATGGGAAAGAATCTACCTGCAATGCAGGAGACCCAAGTTCGATCCCTGAGTCAGGAAGATCCCCTGGCGAAGGGAATGGCAACCCACTCCAGTATTCTTGCCTGGAGAATCCCAAGGACAGAGGAGCCTGGTGGGCTACAGTCTGTGGGGTCACAAAGAGAGTAGGATACAACTGAGCGACTAACGCACACACAAGTTTCCCTTTGGGGTGATAGAAAAGTTTTGGAAATAGATCAAGGTGCTGGTGGCACAGCATTGAGAATGTAATTAATGACACTGAATTGGATACTGAAAAATGGTTAAAATCACAAGTTTTGCATTATATATATATATATGGCTTCCCTGGTAAAGAATCCGCTTGCTAAGGCAGGAAATGTGAGTTCGATCCCTGGGTTGGGAAGATCTCCTGGAGAAGGAAATGACAACCCACTCCAGTACTCTTGCCTGGAGAATCCCATGGACAGAGGAGCCTGGTGGGCTATAGTCCATGAGGTCGCAAAGAGTCGGACACAACTTAGCAACTAGACAACAGGGTGTGTGTGTGTGAGATACCACAATCTTTTAAAAAGCCCCTCTGGCTGCCAGGGGGAGCCTGGGATGTGGGAGTGGAGGTTCTGGAGGGCAGCAGGGAAGGGATCAGGGCTCTTTAGTGAAAATAGGAATGCCCAGATCTGGAGGACAGATGCCGAGAATGGACAGACAGACGCTGGGCTGTTCTGGAGATGCAGACCCCGGACTTACTCCTGAACTGGCTGTGGGGGTGAGGGAAGGGGAAACCCCAGATTTTGACTCCTGGGATTCTGACCCAAGGCCCTGGGAGGACGGTTCCAGGGGAGACCATGCCCTGAAATGGGGAGTTTGGTCGGGCCTGGTCAGGCTCAAGGTGCATTGGAGATCCAGACAGAAGTGTAGATGTGAGGAGAGAAATGGGGCTGGGATTCAGAGGCAGCAGTCGTCATGATGCCAGTGGAATCCCTGAGTGGGGTGTGGAAAGGGAAGAGGGCTGAGGTCCTGGGGTTCCGGGGAGCGGGGACAGCCTGGAGGAGAAGAGCCAGCTCCTTCATGGATGCTTCCTGAGTCCTGACCCTCCTTACTCTGGGACAGCATCCTCTGATGGGCCCGTGCTGGCTTACTGTGTGTGCAGGCTGTGGTCCTTACAAGAACCCTGCAGAATGGAGAAGGAAATGGCAACCCACTCCAGTATTCTTGCCTGGAAAAATCCATGGACAGAGGAGTCTGGCGGGCTGAAGTCCATGGGATTACATGACTGAGCATGTGTGCACGAGGGTGGAGGGAGATGGGTTGGTAGCAATAAACTGGTAGAACTAAAAAATAAAAAAGAACCCTGCAGAAACATGGTGCCAAGGGAACTGAGTGGGCAGGGCCCACTCAGGGCCTGGGGGCATGAAATGACAGAGTTGGACCCCAGACCCATGTTGGCCGGCCGTACCCAGAGCCTGGCATCCGGCAGCCTCTTCAGCGTTAACCAGACGCTAACCGGTTTAATTCCCTAAGGGAGCCAGAGGGAGAATGCTGACCAGTTAAACTCCCTAGGGGAGAGTCAGGGAGGGGAGCACCCATCAGCCTAGCATCAGTTCCCCACTCCACCCCGAGTCTGGAAGGTAGAAGATGGGGGTGGGAATGAGGTGATGCCCCCCTCCGCCACCCCGGACCATGTAAAATTGTAGAATGCTGCAAAATGAGACTATCCAGGGCCACATCTGGACAGGGTTGTGGGATGAGAGAAATGGTTGTGGGCTGAGGAAGTAGAGGGGAGAGTTTGCTGAAGGCTGGGAGCTGGAGAGGGTCCTGGGGGTTGGAGTGGGGGAGTTGCGCTGGGAAATTACTTTCCATTTTTCATGAGAGGAGACAGGCCTGGAGGGACATCCTGCCCCATGAGTGAACTGCCCAAATCTGTATTTCCTGAGAAGCTGTGCTGAGTCCCTGCCCTCAACTGGCTCATGGTCTAGTGGGGAAGGCTGACAATAGACCTGCTTATACAAAAAGGTGATTTCAGGGCCTTCCCTGGTGGTCCAGTGGTTAAGACTCTGCGCTTCCACTGCAGGAGTCAAGGGTTTGATCCCTGGCCAGGGAACTAATATCCCACAAGCTGCGCAGTGTGACCAAAATAAATAAAAATAAAATAAAAATAGGGCTAAAGGATGGCGAGCGAGGTTAGCAGGAGTGGTGGGGGCGGTCAGGGTAGGTTGCTCTGCTGGGGTGACCTTGAGGTTGAGTCCTGAATGATGAGAAGCTGCAGCAGGCGATGGGGGTGCTGGGAGAGTGTTCCAGGCAGAGGAGCAGCCCAGGCAAGGGCTCAGGCCAGAAGGAAGCTGGAGCTCCTAGGACCGGTGGAGGGTTGGATTGGAGAACGTGGTGGCACCAGGTCACCCGCAGCCCCTAGGTCCTGGTGAGGAACAGAGACCCCGGGGAGAGCAGAGGGGAGGTTAATACTCAGATTTACATCATTAAATGATGGCCTCAGTGCTGAGCGGAGGCAGTGAGGCTGGGAAGAGGAGGAGGCCAGGACAAGCCTCTGGGGGCAGCAGGATGGTGGCTTGGGCCTGGTGGTGGCCCTGGGAAGTGGGCAGATTGACAAGGTACTTTGGAGGGAGGCAGAGCCCATGGAACTTGGTGGAGGAGCTTATGAAGGGGAGGGGAGCAGAGGAGTTGTAATTGAGGAGGATTCCTAGGTTCACGTTCTGAGACTGATTCAACGTGGAGAAGGGAATGGCAACCTACTCCAGTGTTCTTGCCTGGGAAATCCCATGGACAGAGGAGCCTGGCAGGCTATAGTCCATGAGGTCACAAAGAGTTGGACGTGACTGAGCAACTGAACAACAACTGTTCAACATTCAGGCCTGTTGTGGAAGCAGGACCAAAACAGTGCAGTGATCTCTGCCTGTGGAGGGGCACATCCATTAAAAAAGAGAAATAGTTACATTTGAACCAAGGTTTAAAGGAGGCCAGGGAGCAGAGGAAGAAGCCGTTTGAATAACTGGCAGGCAGAAGATTCACCCGGAGGAAGTGACTAGTGCCAAGGCCCCGGGGCGGGGTCTGGGCTGCTTGAGGAGAGCAGGAGGCAGGAGTGGGGTCAGGGAGCTTACTGGGCTGGTCGACAGGCTTTCGGGAGTGGGGGTGGGGAGTAACCAGTCGTCAGGGCTCTCTTGTGAGATTCCAAACTGTAAATAAGAGGCTTGGAAAGTATGAGCTTGTCCCTGGTGTTGCGCCGATAGGACAGACTGGGGGGACGGGAGTAGAGGACAGACCAAGGGTTTGCGCACTAGAAGTGAAGTGAAAGGTGCTCAGTCATGTCCAACTCTTTGCGACCCCATGGACTCTGCAGTCCATGGAATTCTCCGGGCCAGAATACTGCAGTGGGTAGCCTTTCCCTTCTCCAGCGGATCTTCCCGACTGAGGGATCGAACCCAGGTCTCCCGCATTGCAGGTAGATTCTTTACCAACTGAGCTATCAGGGAATGAGAGCCGGTTAAAACATGGGGTGCTGGAATCTGCCTGGTGGTCTAGTGATTAATAATCAGCCTTGCAATGCAGGGGGTGCAGATTCGATCCCTGGTCGGGGAACTAAGATCACACATGCCACAAAGCAACTACACCCACGCCCTGCAACTACTGAGCTGGTGAACCACAACTAAGAATGCAGCCAAATAAATAAAAGAGAAACTATTTAAAAAAAAAAGAAACATGGGTGCTGACCTTCCTCAGAGAAGGTACATTTCTAGCAAGGTCGTGTCCGGGCTGCTGCCCCTGGACTAGGGTCATGCTTGGAGAACCAGGGTGTAGATGAAGCAAAGGACCAGGCGTGGAGATCTGGGTGTCCCATCTTGGGAGTATCCCGGGGGAGACAGAAGCAGTGAGAAGAGGAGAGGCTGGAAGGGAGAAAAAGTGGTCAGAACCTGGCTCTGTGCCCTCAAAGCCGCTGTGCCCGGGGAAGGCAGACTGGGGAAGGGGAGGGCTAGCATGGGAGGACACAACTCCCACCCCTCTTCCAGCTTCCCCAGCTCCCCCAGGGGCTGCACCCGCCCCTCACCCCGCCTGCCTGTCTCCAGCTCACCCTGAGGGTCCCCCCGAGAGGAAAGAGGGGACTTAGTCGTCCCTGGTCCCTGATCTGTGGCGCCAGCCAGCTGGATTCTAATTAGCTTCCAGAGCCAGAGAGACAGGAAGCCAAGGGGCTGGGGGTGGGGCCCTGGACTCCTGCCCAAGACCGGGAGGCTGCAGGTCCGGGCCAAGACGCCTGGGTCCCCCACCCTGAACACCGTGCTGGATGAGGAAGCTGGGCTAGGGGAGACAAACTGGCAGGGTCTCGATTTCAAGAGGCTTCCAGAGGGTTCTCCTCTGGGATGGAGGTGGGCTGCCTGGGTGCAGGTGGGCTCTTCTTAGCTGGCACTGCCCGAAGAATTACCCCAGCCACCTGGAGAAGGGGGGCTGGCAGACTTCAGGAGGTGCTTCTGGGAGATCCAAGGTGCCCAAATGGGTGGGTCCACCTATTGGGGTGTGGGGGGTGTACAACATGAGCCAGAGGCCTTGGAGGGGTCAGCCTCTGGCCCAGGGATGCTGGCTTGAGGGAGGTTCATTGACCCAGCCCTCTCGGGGTGGCGGGCTAGAGGCCCTCGGGCACCTGCAGAAAGAGAGGGGACCTGCCCTCCTCCTCGGCCCACCCCTGCCCCCCGCCTCACTCTCCCTGTCCTCCACAGGCTGGTGGACCAGGCCGCGGTGCCCACCTGGTGATGCAGGGCGGGGCCCCCTGCACAGCCCACTGAGAGCTGAGCACGCACCCCTAGCCGCCACCATGGCCCGCCTGGCCGCTGCGCTCTGGAGTCTCTGTGTCACAGCCATCCTCGTCACCTCAGCCACCCAAGGTAGGTGTTGAGGGGGCCGAGGCAGGGGAGGGGGGAGGAAACCCCGAAATACCCCCGACCAGGGCTCCCCTGGTGGCTCAGCGGTAAATAACCTGCCTGCCAATGCAGGAGACCTGGGTTTAATCCCTGGGTTGAGAAGATTCCCCTGGAGGAGGGCATGGGAACCCACTTTTTGCCTGGAGAATCCCATGGACAGAGGAGCCTGGTAGGCCCCGGTCCGTAGGGTGGTAAAAGAGGGGGACATGACTTAGTGACTCAACAACCACAACCTCCTGATCCCTTGTTAGAGAATCAGGCCCCCACCCAGCCTCAGTCTGGCAGAATTGGAGCAGATGAAGGCTTGGTGATCACACACCCTGATTCAAGAGGTCCCCAAATCAGCCCCTCACCTCCCAGCCCAGAGCTCCCGGACTCATCCCACCTGCGGTCCTAGAGCCTGGGATTTGGGCTGTGGCCTCCAGGACCAGGACCGGTCTTCCTGGTGAGACGATGCCCTTCTGTCTCTTGTGTGTGTGCGCGTCTCTCTGTGATTACATCTCCGAGGCTCTCGCTGGGAAGAAGGCTTAATTAAAGCATGCCCGCTGACGTTTATTTAAAAACAACTAATTATCCAGCTCGGCCCTATGCCGGCCCCGGGATCCCGCACACGCCACAATTAGTGCCCGGAGCCTGCCCGCCCACCCTCGCCCGATTACTCAATTACTGTCCCCACGGTGGGCCCAGGCGGGAGCAAGGGCAGCGCGCGATGAGAGGCAGAGAGAGGAGGCCCGCCGGCCTCGCCCTCGCCCTCGCTCTGGGGGTGCCCCCTGCCCCACCCTTCCCAGCCCTGTCTGGAGGCCGCTGGTGGTGGGCCCTGCTCCCCAGCGCTCCCTCACACAGAGAGCCTCAAAGGTAGAGGGGGCGTCGTTCAGCCGTGCCACCAGGCCTTGGCACTGCTCCGGCCAGCTGGCGCCCTCTGCTCCCGCAGCACCCGCGTTCTCTACCCGTCCAGGCCCTGCCCCACAGCCCCAGCTGGGCTGGGCGGGGCTGCTTCCACCCCCAGACCCATCTGAGCCATCTGAGCCAGCCCTCCACCCCCAGCCTCCTTCCCAGGCCCAGGAAGGACTAAAATTAGACGTGGGAGCAGATGGCGCTAGAGGAACACATGTAAAACTTTTTCCCAACTGGGACTCAACTCACCCCAAAAAACCCCGAGGGCCTGGCTGCCAACCCCGTTGGGCCCCCAGCTGGCATCAGAGGGACTAGATCGCAGCAAAGGGGGCCCGTCTGTCTCTGCTGCCAATGTGCAGTGGGACTTTCTCTTTATCCGCCAGTGACAGTCTCCACGTTGGAGGCTTGGGACCACTCTGCGCATCCCTGCTTCCCTCGGACCCCCGGCATAGGCCTGGCTGGGACCGGTGTGCAAGAAGGTGGCTGCCCCAGCAGGCGTGGATGATGCTGAGCCCACTCTGTCCCACAGAGACGAGCTGCCTTAATCATCCTCCTGAGAGTAGTAATCAGGGGCCTGTCTGCTCACTGCAGACCAGTTCCACTGCACCCCCTCAGCAGAGGCCCGTGGGGTAGGCGTTGTCGACTCCCTAGAGAAGGAGTAAGGGCCCAGGGGTGGTCAGTGAGTACATGAACCCACCAGCCAGGGAGTGGCTGCGCTGGAATCTAAACCCCAGACCTGGCTCCTGAGTCACAGCTTGCAGTCCCTGAAAGGCATAGGAAGGGAGCTGACATGTGACAATGCAACCCCTCCCAGAGCCCGGCACGCCTGTGGCAGGTTCTTCCATTGTCATGGCAACCCTAGGAAGTTTCCCAAGTGAAAGCCAGGGGCCCCCTCCCTGGGATGCCCTCACTGTCCACAGCACCTTCTTCAAGAACATCTTCTAGCACAGAAGCCTCCCAGTACAGCCCTGGGCTGTGGTTTGCCCATTTTACAGATCCGAAAACTGAGGCCTGGCGAGGCGCCAGAAGCAGCTGACCAAACAAGAGTGTGCATGAGAATCACGGGTGGGTATACCCATTCACCCCCAAGATTCAGGATCAGCAGGCCAGGGTCTGGGGGCACTCAGAATCTGCATTCCGAACACAATGCAGATATGCCCGGGGCCACACCGGGAGAAACCCTGGCCCAAAGGACCCACCTGGCCTGTCAGCTGGGAAGTAGCAAAGCCAGGCTCTGTGGTTTCTTCCAGAACATTGAGGACATTCCCTTCTACACCCTCCCTGCTCTCTGCATGGGGGTGGTGCGAAGTTAGAGAAGTGCCCCAGGCCACTCTCAGCTTTGATGATTTGCCTGAAGGATTCATAAAATTCACAAACACCATTATTAGCTGTTTACTCACTCAGTCGTGTCTGACTCTTTGGGGACCCCATGGACTGTAGCTCGCCAGACTTTGCCACTGAACCACGAGGGAAGACCGTCCCTTGCGGTTATAGTTGATTACTGGTGGCTCAGATTGTAAAGATTCCTCCTGCCAATGCGGGAGACCCAGGTTCGATTCCTTGGTTGGGAAGATCCCCTGGAGAAGGAAATGGCAGCCCACTCCAGTATTCTTGCCTGGGAAATCCCACGAACAGAGGAGTTTGGCAGGCTACAGTCCATGGGGGTCACAAAAGATTCGGACATGACGTAGTGACTAAACAACAACATAGCTGACTACAGTGAACTGATGCAGATGAAAATCAGCCAAGAGAAGAGGGGCATGGGGCAACACCAGGAAAAGTTCTGCGCATGGGGGTTCTGGTGGTTCCCTCCCAGGGCAGACAGCAGGAACTCTCTCAGCAACGATGAGCCACACCACGCATGTTATACTGCTAACTGGGGAAGCTCTTCTGAGCCTTGGTGTCCAGAGTCTTTTACTGAGGCTCAGTCACATAGACATGGCTGGCCTCAATCTCCAGCCCCTCCAGAGGTCAACTAGATGCATGACCCAAAACGCCTACCTGAAACCTCATTGTTAGTGAACTAACTGTTAATAGTTTGCTAGGACCGTCCTGACCAAGTACCACAGACTGAGGGGTGTTCCCTCCCAGTTCTAGAGGCTAGAAGTCCAAGATCAAGGTGTCAGCAAGGTTGGTTCCTTCTGAAGGCCACCGGGCTCTGTTCCAGGCCCTTCTCCGTGGCTCATAGATGGCCATCACTTTCCTCCCTGCATCTCCACGTCGTCTTTCCCCCTTTGTGTGCCTCTGGGCCCAAATTTCCTCTTTTCATAAGAACACCGTATTGGATTTGTTGTTGCTGTTCAGTAGCTCAGTCACGTCCGACTCTTTGCAACCCTATGGACTGAAGCACACCAGGCTTCCCTGTCCTTCACCATCTCCCGGAGTTTGCTCACACTCATGTCCATCGAGTCGGTGATACCATCCAACCATGGCATCCTCTGTCAACCCCTTCTCCTTCTGCCTTCGATCTTTCCCAGCGTCGGGGTCTTCTCCAGTGAGTCAGCTCTTTGCATCAGGTGGCCAAAGTATTGGAGCTTCAGCTTCAACCTCAGTCCTCCCAATGAGTATTCAGGGTTGATTTCCTTTAGGATTGACTGGTTTGATCTCCTTGCTGTCCAAGGAACTCGCAAGAGTCTTCTCCAACACCAGTCTGAAAGCTTCAATTCTTCGGCATTCATATTGGATTCGGGCCCACCTTAGTGGCCTCATTTTAACTTGAGTACCTCTGTAAAGATGCTGTCTCTAAATCTGCTCGTATTCTAAGGCAGGGGTCCCTAGCTTCTGGGCCGCAGACCAGTAGTTGTCCATGGTCTATTCGGAATCAGGCTGCAGAGCAGGAGGTGAGAGGTGGACCAGCAAGTGAAGCTTTATCTGTATTTACAGCTGCTCCCCATCATTTGCGTTACCACATGAGCTCCGCCTCCTGTCAGATCAGCAGTGGCATCGATACTCTCATAGGAGCATGAACCCTACTGTGAACTGTGCATTCAAGAGGTCTAGGTTGCACGCTTCTTATGAGAAACATCCCCAAACAATCCTCCCCATACCCCTGTCCATGGAAAAAATTGTCTTCCATGAAACCAGTCCCTGGTGCCAAAAAGGTTGGGGACCGCTGTTCTAAGATACTTGGGGTTAGGGCTTGACTTCAGCATATGAATTGGTGGAGGGGGGGAAGACCTGATTTAATCCATTAACAGTTCACACAGGCTACCCTGGCATGGCTCCAGGCCCCCATGTAACTCTTCTCACAAAGGACACTACAAGGGCTCACAGAGCACCTCCCAGGAGCCAGACTCTTTTTGGGCTGGGCTAATGGCCTTACTACACAAGTAGGTGCACCGAGAAGCCCATTTCACAGATGAGTAAACTGAGGTTCATACAGCCCGCAGCCCGATACAGTCAAGCTGGAGGTGGAGCCTCTTCAGTGGGGGTCTGTCCCACCCCTCCTGGGCCTGGTGGTGACCGACTCCCTCCCCCTTCTCCCTACAGGCCTGAGCCGGGCTGGGCTCCCATTTGGGCTGATGCGCCGGGAGCTGGCATGTGAAGGCTACCCCATCGAGCTGCGGTGCCCGGGCAGCGACGTCATCATGGTGGAGAACGCCAACTATGGGCGCACAGACGACAAGATCTGCGACGCTGACCCTTTCCAGATGGAGAACGTGCAGTGTTACCTGCCGGACGCCTTCAAGATCATGTCCCAGAGGTGAGGGGCTCCAGGAGAAAGGGGTGGCAGCAGTCCCGAGAGTCCCCAAATAAGGTGCCTGTCCTCTGCGCACCCCATGGCCAGCGCACCCTTTCCCCTTTACCCTTCCTTGTAGGCATTCGCCATGTTTCCTGAGCAACTACTAGGGGCCGGGTGCCACGCAAACAGCCAGTAGGACCCAGCCCACCCCCCGCCAGCCTGTCACCTCCCCAAGCTCTACCCTTCGCCAAAAGCCCGTGGCCTCCAGATGCTCATCCCAAGATTAGCGGGGGCTTGCAAGTAAGAGCCATGGCAGGACAGGGGGAGGTGTCAGAGGAGCTGAGGGATAGCCCAGAGGGCTTCCCTGAGGAGGTGACATCTGAACATGGACGGCAGAAGGTTATGTGCTTGTGTCAGAGGTGTGTGAGAATGTGAGGGAGTGAGTGAGTATGAAGACTGTTCCTTTCTGTAAGTGTGTGTTTGAGTGGGGGGGTGTACAAAGCTACACACTCAAGCCAGACCACCTGGAGCTAGTCAGCTCTTCCTTCAGATTTTACCCAGATTTAGGACTTCCCTGGTGGTCCAGTGGTTAAGAATCCCCCTGCCAGTGCAGGGGACACGGGTTCGATCCCTGGTCCAGGAAGATCCCGCATGCCATGGGGCAGTTAATGCCGTGTGCCACAACTACTGAAGCCCGTGCGCCTAGAGCCTGTGCTCTATAACAAGAGAAGACACCGCAATGAGAAGCCTGAGCCCCACAACTAGAGAGTAGCACCCATTGCCGCAACTAGAGAAAGCTAGCACACAGCAATGAAGACCCAGTGCAGCCAAATTTAAAAAAAAAATTTTTTTTAACCCAGATTGATTGTGCTTCCGCACCAACCCCCCCATGGCTGCCTAGAGCCTCCTCTGCCCCCTCTCCTTGCCTTCTCTTGCCTGCCTGCTATAGTCTGTTCCCGCCATAGCAGCCAGGGAGCGCTTATGAGCACTTGAGTCAGGTTCTGCCCTCCTATCAGATCCCTCCTTGGTGCCCACCTCACTCAGAGCAAAAGCCTAAGTCCTCCTCAGGTCCACAAGGCCCTGGACATTCCGCAGCATCCTCTCTAGTCCTCACCTTCTCCATGCTCCTCCTCCCTGGGTTTCAGTTACCTGGCCACTCCTTACACTCATCACCCATCTTCTGCTAGGGCCTTGGGACCTTTTGTGTTGGCTGTTCCCCCTGTCTGGAATGCTCTTCCCCAAAACCCAGGTGACTCCTTCCTGCCCTTACTCAGGTTCTTTCATTTGAATTATGTTTGTTGCTGCACCCCGCTACTAGCACGTGGGATCTTATTTACTCGACCAGGAATTGAACCCACGCCCCTCTGCATTAAAAGCACAGAGTCTTAACCGCTGGACCGCCAGAGAAGTCCCCCATTCAGGGATTTTTTTCTTTTTTTTGCCTGACTAGCCTCTTAATGAGGTCTACCTGGCCACACTCTAAAATCACAGTGCCCTCGCCCCACTTGCCAGCCCCTTCCCTGTTTCTCTCTCTCCTAGTCCTGACTTCTGCCCACAGTTCCATTGGCTACATTGCCTCTTTATCATGTCTCCCTTGTGTCTTCCCTCCCCGGGCTGTCAGCCCCACAGGGAAAAGGCGTGTTGTCTGTCACCACCGTGTCCACAGCCAGCTATACCGCAGGCACTCACTGAGTTTTTGCCAACTGCCTGAGAGAGAGCAGGGTTCACTCCAGGACCCTGAGCAGAAAGCTAGAAAAGGGAAGGAGGCCTGGGGGCCAGCTCCACAGCTCCTCGGGGATTCTAGAATACCTCACTGGATGGGGTCATCAGAAGCCCTCTGAGAGCTTGGGGCAGGGAATGGCTGTGGTCAGGTGGCTCAGGTAGGTGGGCTGGACTGGAATCACTTCATTCGCTCCCTTCCACCATTTCTTTCTCAAACATCTACTCTCGAGATATCCCTGGTGGTCCAGTGGTTAAGGCTCTGAGCTTCCACTGCATGGGACATGGGTTTTATCCCTGGTCAGGGGCTTCCCAGGTGGTGCTAGTGGTAAAGAACCCACCAGCCAATGCAGGAGACATAAGAGACACGGGTTCGATCCCTGGGTTGGGAAGACCCCCTGGAGGAGGACACAGCAACCCACTCCAGTATTCTTTGGGGACTTCCCTGGTAGCTCAGACAGTAAAGAATCTGCCTGCAATGCAAGAGACCTGGGTTCAGTCTCTGGGTCAGGAAGATCCCTGGAGAGGGGAATGGCTGCCCACTCCAGTATTCTTGCCTGGAGAATCCCCATGGACAGAGGAGCCTGGTGGACTATACTACCTAGAGTCACATAAAATAAGACACAACTTAGCACAGAGAAATAAGGTCCACGTGCCTTGCGCTCATGGCAAAAAAAAAAAATAAAACTATTTCCCTGCAGCGATCTTCTCCTTCTTCCCTAATTTCCATCTCCCAACAGCCCTGCATGGACCATCCCAGTCCAGCCTCCCTTTTCTCCTACCCACTGCCTCTCCAGATTCTCCCTGCCCGCTTCACTCAGACCAGCCTCGGGGTCTGTGATTTTTTTCCGCCATGTCCCCAAGTTGCTTTCACAGAAACTTGCCTAGTTTCCAACACTCATGGGGTCTCAGTTCTGGGGCAGGGGGGTGGGGGACACAGTAGTGCAGTCACTGGGGCTGAGGGAACGTGATGAGGCCACTGCCCCACCGTCTTCACACATGGAGACTACGTTAGTTCAGGGTCCAGCTCTGTGACTCTGACACAGACACCCCAGAGTAAGCACAGTGACCTAAACAGGATCAGCTTCCCAGGTGAGGCTAGAGGTAAAGAACCTGCCTGCCAATGCAGGAGATGTAAGAGACGCAGTTTCTATCCCTGGGTTGGGAAAATCCCCTTGAGGAGGGCATGGCGACCCACTCCAGTAGTCTTGCCTGGAGAGTCCTATGGACAGGGGAGCCTGGGGGGTTACAGTCCACAGGATTGTAAAGAGTTCGACACGACTGAAGTGACTTAGCTCACAAACAGAATCAGAATTGAAAAGACCCTCAGCACCTGCTTCTGTCTTAGTACTGAAACCCTGCCCCCACTTCCACCCTGGAGCCAGTCCCTTAAAGGCTGTATCATACCCACTCTCACCTCCCAGGTTAGAACTCAGTCACAGGCACTTCCCAGCAGCGGAGGCTGGACATGCGGTTTTTCCAGGAAGGCCAGCATTTCTATGTTTCTCTTTTTGTTTTCATGGAGGCGAAATCCACATAACAAAAGATTCACCATTTGAAAGTGAACAGTTCAGTGGCGTTAATTACATTCACGATATTGTGCAGTCCTGCCTCTGTCAAGTTCCAGAACATTTTCATCACCTCAAAAGGAAACTCCGTCACCCTGAGCAGTTACTCCCCATCCCTCTCCCCTCCCCTGAGCCCCTGGCAACCACTCATCTACTTTCTGTCTCTGGATTTGCCTGTTTTGGACATTTCATATAAATAGAACTGTGAAACACGTGGCCTCTGGGGCTGGCTTCTTTCACTGAGCGTGATGTTTTCAAGGCTCATCCATGGTGTAGTATTAGAGCTTCCTTCCTTTTTTATGGCTGAATAATACTCCATTGTCTGAATAAGCTGTGTTCCACTTATTTTATGAGTTTATCCACTCATTTGTCAGTGGGTTGTCTCTACCTTTTGGTGATTGTGTGAATGATGCTGCTGTGAACATTCACATACAAGCATTTGTATACAAATATACCTTCAGGGTTGCAGTAGATGAATGCACCTGCTTTCAGTTCTTTGGGGGAATAGAACTAGTTCTTTGGTTCATAGATAACGAAGTCTCTGTTTAACCATCTGAGCTCAGTGTTATATATTTTTTTTAATTTATTTATTTTTAATTGAAGGATAATTGCTTTACAATATTGTGTTGGTTTCTGCCATACATCAACATGTATCAGCCATAAGTATACATATGTCCCCTCCCTCTTGAACCTCCCATCAGTGTTATATTTTTGAACAAAGGAGTTGAGGGGTGGGGGTATGAGGAGATGCTCATGAGTTAAGCACTCATTGGTTAGGAGCAGGACTGAAGTGAAGACACAGGAGCCCCCTCTGCCCCATACCTTTCAGGAAGCCCCCGCACCAAACCACTTCTTACACACCCACAGTCAAGTCACTGTCCTGCCCAGCCAAGACTCGGCCTGCTCCAGGAAATGGAGACCTTGACCGAGGGAATAGACAGCAGAGAAGAAACATCTTTTTGTTGTTGCTAAGTAGACTTCCCATTACATGGTAGCCAGACTCCTGAGAAGTTGACAGGGACTTGGGGGAGTTCCGCATGGGGAACCGAGGAAGGTTTCAGCATGAAGGGACAACTCTGCCCCTCTCGGGCTGCAGAGCCTCATGGCAGCTCTGTCCAAAAGGTGGGACATATCAAGACGTGGTATGAGGTGGCAAACACTGAGCATCCCATCAGTAGCATGTTCACAAAGATAACCACCTTATGTGTATGGCTTCACATCTTATTGAACAAACAACAAGTTTTATGGTCAGTTTATGGGGGAAAAAAAGACATAATGGCACAGGTGACACTCAGGATGAAAGTGATGAAGGGTGACGAAAAACAGTTTATGGAGTGACCCCTCTGGCATAGCCCTGAGCTTCCTGCTGTGCCAGGCCTGAAAATAGAAGAATCCTATCTGGAAGGAGAGAGCAGACAGGAAACAGAAAACAACACCCACATAAGGCCCTTGGCATGGTCTCCATGGTTCCTTCCCAATGTGGAGATGTCCATTCCTCTCCTGACCCTGGGCCTCCCCTGCCCAGTTCCAGGCTCGTCTTTTCCCAACCTCCCCATCTCTTCTCCACAGGTGTAACAACCGCACCCAGTGTGTGGTGGTCGCTGGCTCCGACGCCTTTCCGGACCCCTGCCCCGGGACCTACAAGTACCTGGAGGTGCAGTACGACTGTGTCCCCTACAGTGAGTCATCTTGTTCCTCATGCGACACGGGCCCTTCCCTCTCCCAGAAGCAAGTGAGGAGGAGACACCTTGAACACACACACACACACACACAAGGCCCATTTGGGGCCAGGAACACGAGGGATGGCTGGACCCGCTCCCTCCCTCACAGACACCCTTGTCCACACTGCTGTCTGCCCCACCCCACCCCCACCCTTGACTCTGTCCCCATCCACTGGACACCTTCTCCAACTCTTTTTACTCTGGTCTGCTCACCCTGCTTCTTCACCTGCCCTTGGCTTCTTTATACACTTCAAGGCACACTTGTCTCTCCTCTCCCCGGGCCTTGAGCTCACTGCCGTCTAATTCCTCTTCCCCCGCTCTTCCCACATCCCTTCCCTTCCTGACCACCTTTTACACACATGCTCTTCCCTCTAACCCCACTTCCTCTCGGCTCCCTCTCCTTTCTCTCATCCTTCTCACTCACAGGCCCCCACTCCTGCCCCTTCCCAATCCTGGAAGCTGGACATTATACCCATAGAGAGGCAGGTCACCCTCTGAGGCCTGGCAACAGTTCTCATGTGAAGGGCTAGGGACGTCTTCCACAGATTCCTAACTCTTGGTTGGTTTGCTTATTAGCATGCTAGTACTTCCTGTCTGCACAGGAAGTGCTGCCATGTTGGACTGAGGGTGGCACCCAAGCATCCTGAGGAAGGTGATCTGGGGAGCCAGGGGCCTGCCATTCTTGCACCCGACCAAAGGAAGCAAACCATGGACAGGGTCTCTCCTCCTCAGCACCCCACCCTTAACATGGCCCTTCTTTCCAGCCCTCATGCTTCCCCCCCGCTTCCCCATCATCCATTCCCTCCTCTCCACCCCCAGCTTCACGTAGTCAATCTGGAGGTAGGGCCCTCTGGGCAGAGGGGGGAGGAGGCAGGGCCGCCAGGGTGTCTTGAGTGTGGGGGGCAGGGGCGGGGGAGCAGGAGGCCCTGTGACTCTCCCTCCTCTCCCCTCCCACCCCAGCCTTCCCCCCAACCCCCAACCTTTGATTTCTCCTCGCAGGTGACACAGACGTGCTGGGGGAGATAGGAGCCTCATGTGCTTCCATAGCTTTCTTCTTTTACTCCTTACCCTTTCCTTTCAGCAATGGAGGCCTCCAGTCATCGCCTGAGGGGGACGCCCATCTGATCCTTGAAGCCTCCCCACAGCACTGGGGACACTGCCCACCCCCTGTGGGCTGGGCCAGCAGGGGAAGGGGGACAAGAGTTGGGGAGCACAGCACAGTGGAAAAATCTAGACTGGGTTCGAGGTTCAGCCACAGCCCTTGGGTTTTCTGGCTCGGAAACTGGAGCAAAAGACTTACATTTCTCTGGGCTGCTGCAGAAGGAGGCGAGAGTCCAGGAGGTCATGTGTGCAAGGCGCCCAGCCCAGGGCCCGCCACAGAGCCCACTTGTGGTGGCAAAGTGCTGGATGTAAACTCCCCCCACAGGGCAGAGACCTCATCTTCAACCCCCTCCCCAGCGCCCAGACCCAAGCCTGGTTCAGGATGTGCTCAGTAATGGTTTGTGTGCCCTTTCAATCCAGTTGAGCCTATACCTTCCTCTGTGATGATGGGAGGGGATCAAACACCTCTGAGATGCTGCCAGGACTGTGGAGAACATGGGTAAAAGCTCTTTGTGCACCCCCAGCCGTAGATGTGAAGGAAACTGCACCCATTTTGTCAGTCGTGTTGCTTCACTTCATTAAACCTGTTTCCTCATCTATAGACAAGATTCTTGAAATGCTGCCAGAGGGGTGCTTAGCAGGGTTCCTTTCACCTAATAAGCGCTGAGCACTTAGTAGTCGTTGCTTTTCTTCTGACCACTCACCATGACTTTTACCAATTATTATTGTTATAGGTAATCAAAAATAAAACTAACACCAGATGATAAACCCAGTTTCTCTTGAGACCAGCAAGATAAAAAGCAGGGGGGAAAAAATCTCCTGGTCCAAGTGGCGTCCAAAAGCAAGTGGGAAAAAAAAACAAAAACCAAATGAGTGGATACCATGCAGGTAAAGAAGCAGGGAAGAGGTGTAGAGGCTTCCTGGAGCTGAACCTCTCAGTGTGGGTGGGAGGGCATGACCCATAGAGACCGGAGGTCTCCGGGAACGGGCAGCCCCCAGTCTGATGGGAGAGAGCTGCCTTGAGCCCTGGGAGAGGCAGAGGCACACACGCTTGGGTGCGCGTGCACACACACTCTCTCACACACTCACAGTCACTGATACGGAGGATGTATCTGGGGGGCTGGGCTAACTCCTGGTCCCAGAAGAGGGCTGGCATTCCAAGGGTGATGGAAGCCAGGCCCCCGAACAGGGAGGCCTGGCACTCAGTCATCCCCAGACCTTTCTTTCTCTGAGCACCTCCTGTGTACCAGGCCCTGGGAGAGGCGCTGGGAAGGGAGTCAGACACTGCCCCTCCCGACAGACAGGTGGCAGGAGAGTGAGGCCCTGGTCAGAGGTTCCTAAGGGGCCGGGGGGGGGGGGGGGGCCCAAAGCCTGGAGGGGGCACAGCCTGGGCAGCCCCTCTTGCCATGGGCTTCAGAGGCTGGGGTGACCCCAGTGCTGGTCGGGGTGGGAGCCGCGGGTGTGTGGGGCATCCCCTCCCCGGCACACGAACCTGACAGGCCCGACTAACGCTGGATTTGCTTTGCAGCTGAGCACAGTCTAACCCGTGCCCCCTTCCTCCCCAGGTGCTGCCCGCCTGCCCATCCCAGCCGCGGGCTGGGGAGCTCCCAGCTCCTGGGCCCCCAGGGGGGAGCTGGGCAGAGAAACTGAGCCTCGGGCTTGCCCCCGGGGGAGCGGGGGAGCGTGTCTGTGCCCCCACCTGCTGTCCTGCCCCGTCTGTGATGTCCCCCCCACCCCAGTCTCTTCCCTCTCTGCCTCCGTCTCCCCCACGGGGCTCTTGGAGGCCCCCAGGGCTCCGCCCATCTGCCTCTCCATCATTCTGTGTCCGACGCTGCCACCCTCTCTCTGTGTTGGCTTCCGGGGTGGGGGTGGGGTTCCAAGGGTTTTGGGGAAACTCAGCTGGACTCTTTTTAAGGCCAGCACAGAAGGGGAGGGCGTTCTGCGTGTTTTCTCTGTGGTGCTCCCAGGCTGAGGGAGGCACTGAATGCCCTCCTGGGCCCCCGGTTCTAGCAGGAGGGCAGCAGGCAGGGCTGGAGGGGACCAAGGGGATCCTTCACCCCCCCACCATCCCTTCCTGGTGCGCCCCCCCCCAGGGGAGCTGCCTCCCAGCTGGGGCTCCCCCTCCCCAGCCTTGCTGCACTGAGGGTGCCCCTTCCGGTCTGAGGGCTCTGTCCGTCTGCCTACCTGTATACCCCCTCTCCCCACCCCACCCCATGTCTCTCTTGGTCTCTGTCCTCCCGTGTGTCTCCCTCCTCCCTGTGACTGTCTCCCCGACATCCTCCTAGGAGGAAAGGACGTGGGGGCGGGGGCTGACGCTACCTTCGGGGTTGGGGAACCAGGAGTGAGGAAAAGAAAGGAAAAGGGGGCGTGTTGCCAGAAAAGAAACGAAAGCAATTTAATCTTTTTTTTTTTCTCTTTTTTTCTTGCACATTTTTTTTTTCAATTTGTTTTCTCTCTCTCTTCCGATGCTTAAAGTAGAAGTGGAGCAGAAAGGTAAACGCACTGTTACCAATGCTAACCCCTAACTCAGACTTTGTTTTACCTGTACCACACTTATGTGACCTGCCCTCCCCTCCAGCCCCTTCTTCTACCCCCCCACCCCCCAACTTGGTCCAGTCGCTCCCCCCCAACCCCGGTGTCCCCCCCCCTGGTGGGGCCAGCCCTGGTGCGACTGGGCAACCCCACCCTCCAGACACCCAAGGGAGCTTCTCTGAGCTCGGGCAGGACCTTCTGCTCTCTCTGCCTGTCTCTCTCTCTCCTCTCACTCTGTCTCTCTCCCTGCCCCTCCCTTCTAGTCCCTGGCCCTTGCAGGGGTGGGGGGAACCTGACCTTCTCTCATACTTCTTTTGCCTCCTTCAGGAGAAGTCTATAAGCATCCAGGGTGGGTGGGGAGGGAGGGACCCTCTTCCCTGGCTCCCGACTGGGGGCAGAGGGCACCGGGGGAGCCGTCTGTCTGCTTTTTTCTTCCTGCCCCAACTTTTGTGTCTGGTTCAGGGGAGGCGGGAGGGAGGGGACACCTTTGTTTTCCTTTTGGGGAGCAGATTACCTCCTCCTTCTCCTCCTCCTCTCTCTCTTTCTCTCTCTCTCTCTCTCTCTTTCTCTCTCTGGCTCCTGGTGGTTTAAGTTCCTTCTGGTTTGGCGTTTCCAAGGCCCAGAGCTGTTTCGGAGCACGGAGCACCAGTTTTCCCCACCCCCACCCCCATCCTCCACCAGTGGGGGGTGGTGGGGGGCAGCCCCTGGGGAGAGGGGTGTGAGTTGCCCCCAGCCCGGGGAGGGCGCCTGCCAGATCACTGGGGGGCCGAGCGGGTGGGGGGGGCGGGCCTCACGGTTGGGGGAGCGAGGGGCGGGGGAGCGTTGTTTTTTTTTTTTTTTCCCTTTGGTTCTGAAATACTTGCGAAGCTGCAGTCAGGGTTTCTTCTGGGCTGTTGTGGTTAGAGGACCAGAGAGAGGGGGGCGGGGGAGGCACAGGCTGGGTCTGGGGGCTTCCGTGAGCACCGTAATTTCTTCCTTCAGCAGTGGAGGAGGACTCCACAGCGGGCAGGGAGGGTGGCTGGGCCAGGCTTGGCTGTCGGGGAGGGTCACTGCCTCCCCTGAAAGTCATGGGAAATGGACAGCTCTGAGGTGGGGAGGGGAGAGATGACCTTTCAGGATCACTTTGCCCTTGAAATTACGGTGGTCAGTGGAGCGTCCCCTTTGAGGGAGGCAGGGCGGGGTCCCTCCGAGCTGCTCCCCTCCCCCTTGTCCCTTCCCCCATCTCATAGAGGCCTGGGCCACCAGCCCACCGCCCTGCCCCTCACTGCACCCCACCACTCTCTCCCTCTCTCTTTCCTGGAGTCTTTCCGCCCAGCACCAGACACTCTTCTTGCAGGCCCGGTGGTGGTCGGACACGCAGCCTGGGATCTTTTCTCTTCAAGGGATGGGTGGGAGGAGGCTGGAGGGCAGAGAAGGCTTTGGGAGCTTGGTGCTGGGTCAGGCTCCTTGCTGGCAAAGGCCCCAAGCAGGCCCTTCCTCATCTTCTCCCCCTCCCCCCAGGGTAACCTCTAACCACGTTTTCCTTCTCCATGCCCTGCCCACCAGGCTGGGCTCAGACCTCCCACTGCCCACCCCCACCCGCCCCCCACACACAAACACATCTGCTCAGACATCACAGAGCTGGCTGGGGGGCCCGGCTTGGGGAGAGGGAAGACCCAGGCCCAGGAGAAAAGGGCAGATGCCAGTGGGCTGGACAGAAGGTGCAAGCTAACCCCTCAGGGCACTGGGAACACAGCGCTGGAGCCCCAGGCTTCCCTCCCCCTCTAAAGCAGGGCATGCGCCTGGCTGCTTTGTGACCCAAGACCCCTGGATCAAAATGTCCCTGATACTGTGGAGGGAGGGCCGGAATCCCAGCCACCTACCTAAGCCTGCTGAAGGATGAGGCTGGAATTGGGGAAATGAGGAATGGTTCCTGGTCAAATCCCTCTAACCACTGGGGCCACTCCCCTCCCCAAGCCAGCACCAAGTCCCAGCCCTCTCTTGTCCCCTCGGGCCGGCTGCTTTGGTGACAGGCCAAGCAGGAGCAGAGAATTCACTACAAACTCTCACCCTGGCCGGTCCTCGGGTTCTGCTAGTAGGGAGCCGAGAGGGAGGCCCCCAGCCATCCTGGTTGGAGGGGCCTTACCACTATGGGAGGAGAAGGAAGGGAGCCTGGCCACACTGTTTGTGCCAGTCCAGACTCCCACCGGGTCAGTAAGGGGAGCCCAGGAGTAGGTGGCGCTGGGTCGTGACTGGGCAAGGGTGGGCAGGCCGTTGGTGGCCAACGAGATGCAGTTGAGGTTTTCCTCCTTTTCAGGGAATGGGGGGGTGGGGCGGGGGCCCCCCACCTTTCTGACATCAGCGCTGCCTTGGTCCCTCCTCCCGAGCCGGGGATGGTTGCAGGTAAATCGGGTCCGGGAAGGGGAGGTGGGGGGCCTGTTGGGGGCGGGCTGGGTCTTTATCCTAGCACCTGGTTCCCTCCCTGGCCCCCTCTGAGCTGGACCTGGGACTGCCCCCCCAAGGGACCCTCAGTCGGGCCTGGGCCTTGGAGTGAATTCTCTGCTCACCCCCTCTCTCCTCGCCAGCGCTAACTCTTTCTTCCCAGGTGCTCTCCGGCGTGCCTCCCTTGGAGCCAGGACCTCGCCGAGCGCCCCCACACCACCACTTGTCTCTCTTCCCTCCACACAGCTCTCCTCCCCCCTCCCCAACTCTCCCGGGAGTCCCCTCCCTCTCTGCCCTCGCCCCACCACCCCTGTGCACCAGTATCAGTGTCTGCTGCTCAATAAACCCCAAGAGAGACCCTGCCGGCTGGGGGCAGGGCGGGGCACCCCTCAGGAGGGGCTGGACTTTAACGAAAACCCTTCCTCAGCCCCTGATTTCCTGGGTGCTGGGTCGGGGGTTGTCACAGGCTGCGTCAGGAACCTTGGGTGCCTCTCTCACCCTGGAATAGGAGTGCGCTCCTGACACCCACCCACAGTGGGTACGGAAACATCACTCTACCTTGCAGTTTTTGCAGGAGGAAGAAAATGGAGTTTAAAAAAAAAAAAGGAAAAAAAAATATATATATATATCTGTGTCCTGGTGTGGTTGGTGAAAGATGGGACCCTTGACCCTAGCTCTTCCATAGGAGTGCAAATGATGGCGAAGGGACAGGGCCCTGAGTCCGGAACCTCAAAGCTGCCAGTGGCTGCAATGAGGAAATCTCTCCATCCCCCACTAAAGGCACAGGAGACTGACTCTGGGATGGCTCTTGCCAAACCCCGTATCCCCAGCCTGTGGGGTCTCTAGCAGCCAGGGAAGGAAAGAGGGGCACTTCCTACCCCCCAACCCCCACTAACCCTGCTCTTAATGGCCTCCAGGGTTGACATCTCCAGGGAGAGGGGCAGCTGGGCGGGGCAGGGGTCCCAGCCCAGAAACCCCCTTCCCATCACCAGCCCTACCAAGCAACCGTGACTGCAGCAGCAGGAGGGGACAGCCTGGCTCCCCCCGCTGGCCGCGTGACCAACTCGCCTCTCTCTCTCCCCTTCCCTCGCCACCCCCCGCCCCCCCTGCTCCTCCTCTCCCCGTGTCCTCCCTGCCCCTCCCTGCCCGACCCAGTCTTCGTGTGCCCAGGGACCCTGCAGAAGGTTCTGGAGCCCACCTCAACCCACGAGTCAGAGCACCAGTCTGGCGCATGGTGCAAGGACCCACTGCAGGCGGGTGACCGCATCTACGTCATGCCGTGGATCCCTTACCGCACGGACACGCTGACCGAGTACGCCTCGTGGGAGGACTACGTGGCGGCACGCCACACCACCACCTATCGCCTGCCCAACCGCGTAGACGGCACGGGCTTCGTGGTCTACGACGGCGCCGTCTTCTACAACAAGGAGCGCACGCGCAACATCGTCAAGTACGACCTGCGCACGCGCATCAAGAGCGGGGAGACGGTCATCAACACGGCCAATTACCACGACACCTCGCCCTACCGCTGGGGGGGCAAGACAGACATCGACCTGGCAGTGGATGAGAACGGGCTGTGGGTCATCTACGCCACTGAGGGCAACAACGGGAGGCTGGTGGTGAGCCAGCTCAACCCCTACACGCTGCGCTTCGAGGGCACGTGGGAGACTGGCTACGACAAGCGCTCCGCGTCCAACGCCTTCATGGTGTGCGGCGTCCTGTACGTGCTGCGCTCGGTGTACGTGGACGACGACAGCGAGGCGGCCGGCAACCGCGTGGACTACGCCTTCAACACCAACGCCAACCGTGAGGAGCCCGTGAGCCTGGCCTTTCCCAACCCCTACCAGTTCGTCTCCTCTGTCGACTATAACCCTCGCGACAACCAGCTGTATGTCTGGAACAACTACTTTGTGGTGCGCTATAGCCTGGAGTTTGGGCCACCCGACCCTAGTGCGGGTGAGGACAGCTCAAGTTCATGCCCCAATACCCCCTGCCCCTGGGTCTCACAGCGGAGGGGGGTGCACCCTGAGCTCCTAGAGGACCTGGAGGTCACAGACGTGGCAACGTGACAGGCTGTTTTCAGCACTTTGCAGTTGGCTCCTCTGATCCTGCAGTCTGAGAGCCAGGGCTTACTGTTGCCTCATTTACAGATGAGGAAACCCAAGCGCTGGGTGGGCTTCCCCAGTGGCTCAGATGGTAAAAAATCCGCCTGCAGTGTGGGAGACCTGGGTTCCATCCCCGGGTCAGGAAGGCCCCCTGGAGAAGGGAATGGCTACCCACTCCAATATCCTGGCCTGGAGAATTCCATGGACAAAGGAGGCTGGCAGGCTACAGTCTGTGGAGGTCTCAAAAAGTTGGACACAACTGAGCGACTTTCACATACACAAGCACTCGGTGGATGTGAGATTAGCTAGCTTGCTTATTTGAGAAGCTAGAGACTCTGGGCTTGGCTAAAAGCCAAGCTGCACTGAGTCTCCTAAGAGCATTTTGAGCCCTGGAGCCCTTTCAACCCCAGTCTTGGGTGGGAGTACCAGTAAAACAGCAAAGCTGAACTGCTGATATTGACTAGGGTTGGGGACCCCTCCGCAGTCTCATTCTAACCCTTCGGCTACCCTGAACCAGCTCTGCGCAGCCCCACAGCTCCAGAAGAGTCCCCACAAATAAAAAAGGGGGAGTTGAAGTCCCCAGAGGGAAGGGACATGGCCAGGTCAGAGCCCAGAGTAAGAGGAGCATGAGAATGGGAGCCTTCAACACCTTCCTGGCTTGTCCTCTGCCGTTGCTCTCAGACCTCAGAGTACAAATGAGTGGGTTTCTGCCACCTTCTGATGCTTTATATTCCCAGGGGTATGCGGGACCTCTGGGCAGAGAGGGGCTTGGGGAGATCTCCAAACCTAGTTGGGAGATCAACCCTGGGGGTAACCCTGTCTCGTATCCCCTCTCCCTTCCAGGCCCAGCCACTTCCCCACCCCTCAGCACAACCACCACAGCCCGGCCCACACCCCTGACCAGCACGGCCTCGCCCGCAGCCACCACCCCACTCCGCCGGGCACCCCTCACCACACACCCTGTGGGTGCCATCAACCAGCTGGGACCTGACCTACCTCCAGCCACTGCCCCAGCCCCCAGCACCCGGCGGCCCCCCGCCCCCAATCTGCACGTGTCCCCAGAGCTCTTCTGTGAACCTCGAGAGGTGCGGCGGGTCCAGTGGCCGGCCACCCAGCAGGGCATGCTGGTGGAGAGGCCCTGCCCCAAGGGGACTCGAGGTGAGTGCCGAGCCCAGGTGACCTCTGCTGCAGCTGGCTTGGGGAATGACCACTGCTGGCCTGGCCAGGGAGGGGACAGGGGACATGCCCCTAACTCAGCTTGGATGCACTTACCCGTCTACCTTCCTTGCCAGAGTGGGCCGTATGCAGGGGTCGTGCTTCATGTCTGCAGCTGTGTCCCCAGGGCACAGTCACAGCTCAGTTAGTGCCCCCTGCCCCACCCCTGTTCCCTCCTGCAAGTCTAAGCAGGTGCCATGCAAAGCCCTGGATGGACCTTGCAGGGAGCCCCTGGGAGGTAACCTGAGTCCTGGCCTCAGACCGAAAGGGACACAGGCCCAGGAGGGGCTGGGGGCAGGACACAGCAGCTGACACACCAGAGAAGGCAGGGCCGGGACCAGGCTCCAGGGATCCGAGCGAAGGGTCAGAGAGACTTTGCGGGAGGCGTGGTGGGGCTTCCAAGGTAGGCTTGACCGGAAGGCTCCAGCTTTGTGGTAGGCCAAGCTCCAGCTTGGAGCCGAGAGGGCGGGTTTAGGGGAAGTGGGTTGCTCATGTCACCTCAGAGTGACACCTCTCTTTGACTGTCTGGCCTGTTTCATGTCCGGTCTTCCGTGTCCCCTCGCCTCTCCCCTCACCTGCTCGCCCCCGTCTCTCTGCCATCTCCTTTCTCCCTGCTCTGGTCGTCTTCCTCTCCCTCCCCGTGGCTCCCTCCTCTGTTCCTGTGTGTCTGTCCCTACAGGAATTGCCTCCTTCCAGTGTCTACCAGCCCTGGGGCTCTGGAATCCCCGGGGCCCTGACCTCAGCAACTGCACCTCCCCCTGGGTCAACCAGGTGGCCCAGAAGGTACCAGCAGCCACCCCGCCCCCAGATGGGCACACGTGCTTACCCTGCTGGCCCCGGGTGCCCGGGCACAGCGGGGGCGGTGGAACTCCTGGGGAGACAGGCCAGGGTCCACCCCTAGCCTCCAGAGGGAACAGACAGAGGGGGCGGGCCAGGGCAGGCAGAGAGAAGGGGCCGCAGAGAGGGATGAGCGGGGCTGAGCAGGCCGGCTGTGTGGAGAGAGAAGCCCCCTGACGAGGCCGGGGGCTCCCCCTCCTGCCTCCCGCAGATCAAGAGCGGGGAGAACGCGGCCAACATTGCCAGCGAGCTGGCCCGCCACACCCGGGGCTCCATCTACGCGGGTGACGTGTCCTCCTCTGTGAAGCTGATGGAGCAACTGCTGGACATTCTGGACGCCCAGCTGCAGGCACTGCGGCCCATTGAGCGCGAGTCAGCCGGCAAGAACTATAACAAGGTGGGCCCGGTGGCAGGGGCTGTGGGGCGGGGGCACCGCCCTGGGAACTTGGGAGGCACCCAGCCTGGCACTGCAGAGCTGGGCAGCCACCCACGGCCAGGAGAGGAGAAGGCAGGACAGAGCCCAGGCCGGCTGGGACTCCTTCCTGGATGGTCCTGGGGGTGTGGGGGCTCCCTTAGGAATGGCTCTTGCTCATGGGCTAGCCCCAGGTCAGTGGCAGAGACAGAAGAGGAATCTCTCTGGTGCCCAGACGTGAGTGTCAGGGTTCGAGGAGAGGGGCTGGGAGGCCAGCTCTCACACCACCTCCCTTTTCCCCCAGATGCACAAGCGGGAGAGAACTTGCAAGGACTACATCAAGGTGAGGCCTGGGGGCTTCTGTCTTCCTGAATGAGTGGGGCGGGCCCCAGGTGGCACCGGGGGATAGAGGTTCGGAGAAGGGGGTGCAGAACCCAGCTGGAGGGACTGAGGGACAGGGGGAGTCACAGCCTTGCCCCGCCACACTTGCAGGCTGTGGTGGAGACGGTGGACAACCTCCTGCGGCCAGAGGCCCTCGAGTCCTGGAAGGACATGAACGCCACCGAGCAGGTGCACACGGCCACCATGCTGCTGGACGTCCTGGAGGAGGGTGCCTTCCTGCTGGCGGACAACGTCAGGGAGCCGGCCCGCTTCCTGGCCGCCAAGCAGAACGTGGGTGAGTGCTGCTGTCACGCTGGGGCAAGTTGGGGTGCAGAACTTGAACGGGGTGGGTGCCTGTTCTTCCTGGACACCCCTGGGCTACCCTGGCCCTCAACCTTGCCCGGGCCTCTGGACTGTGGACAGACCCCAACCTTGTGTGTCCTGCCACCCCCTGTCCCCACAGTCCTCGAGGTCACAGTCCTGAACACTGAGGGCCAAGTGCAGGAGCTGGTGTTTCCCCAGGAGTACCCGAGCGAGAACTCAATCCAGCTGTCTGCCAACACCATCAAGCAGAACAGCCGCAACGGTCAGTGTCCGAACCCTGAGCCGGCACCCCAGCTCCTCTCACGGGGAAGTTCTTAACTCTGATCAGGCTGAAGACTCTGATAAGAGGTTGGAGCCCATAGCAACACACAGAGGTGTCCTTTGTTCAAGCTAGTGTAACATTTCAAGGGATTCAGGGGGACCCCACAAAGCCCCACAGAACCTCAGATTGGAGAGGTCACTCCTATGTGACAGCAGTTGATCCTCAGAGCTTAGGGCAGGTTGTGCCATTTGAGATTAAGGCCCGGAGAGGTTAGGGATTTGCTCAGGGTCCCACAGAAAGTGAGAGGTGGGTGAGGTGTGTCCTGGACCACTACCTTGCCATTGGGAACTGCCTGCAACTGAGCAGCGGTCCCGCGGAAGGGCTCCCAGAGCCCCGCTTGCCTGGGCGGCAGCCTGACTTCAGAGGTCCCAGCGGCCAATGTACCTGGAGGGCGGCACCGGCCAGGAGCTGACAACACACCTGCTGGGCCTGTCCTACCTAGGAGTGGTCAAGGTTGTCTTCATTCTCTACAACAACCTGGGCCTCTTCCTGTCCACCGAGAACGCCACGGTGAAGCTGGCGGGCGAAGCAGGCTCGGGGGGCCCAGGGGGCGCCTCCCTGGTGGTGAACTCGCAGGTCATCGCGGCGTCCATCAACAAGGAGTCCAGCCGAGTCTTCCTCATGGACCCTGTCATCTTCACTGTGGCCCACCTGGAGGTGAGCTGAGATGCCCCATCCTTCCGTGAGTGTCCCAGCACCCTCCACTTTCCCAGGCTACAGCTCCATACCCCCTACAGTGTGTTCGCTCACCCCGAGAGCAAGTTACAACCCCTCCCTGGAGAAGCAGCCCCCCGGCCCCCTTAGCAGCTCGGGCCATCTGTCCCTAGAGATCTCAGGCTTGACCTGGAGCCGGAAGCCCCAGGCGTGTCTCTCCTGCTTGTCCTCATGGTGGAGTGTGAGGGCTAGGGCTGGACTCCCAGCTCTGACACCCCGGCCCCCACCCCACAACAGGCCAAGAACCACTTCAACGCTAACTGCTCCTTCTGGAACTACTCAGAGCGCTCCATGCTGGGCTACTGGTCAACCCAGGGCTGCCGCTTGGTGGAGTCCAACAAGACCCATACCACGTGTGCCTGCAGCCACCTCACCAACTTTGCTGTGCTCATGGCGCACCGCGAGATCGTAAGCTGGCCAGCGCCCCGCTCCTCCTGGCGGGCCTGCTTGCTGGCCCAGCCTTGCATGGCCTCTTAGAGAGCACTGCTTGGGTGGTGCCAGGGAAGGCCACCTTCATGGGCATGGGGGGCCCGAGTCTTGCCCTGGGCAGGAGGCCACATGTCTGGCTCTCCCTAGTCTGAGTTCCACCTTCTCCCAAGGCCCGCTGGAGAAGCAAGTTGGTGTCAACCTTTGTCATCTCGCCACAAGCCTGCCAGAGAATGGGAAGTGAGCATGCCACCTGTAGAGGGGTGGGGGCCTGGCTAGTTGACCGGGGTGGGGCAGAAGGCCAGGTAGGTGGCAGAAGGCCCAGTGGGCTGCAGCTCGTGGCCCCCGGCCTGGTCCGTGTGTGCAAGGCCAGAGGTGCTCAGCATGCACCCTGCTCCTCCCCCAGTACCAGGGCCGCATCAATGAGCTGCTGCTGTCAGTCATCACTTGGGTGGGCATCGTCATCTCCCTGGTCTGCCTGGCCATCTGCATCTCCACCTTCTGCTTCCTGCGGGGACTGCAGACCGACCGGAACACCATCCACAAGAACCTCTGCATCAACCTCTTCCTGGCGGAGCTGCTGTTCCTCGTTGGGATAGACAAGACTCAGTATGAGGTGGGCGGGACTCTGGGGCAGGAGCAGAAGGGGCGGCAGGGAGGAGAGGTGATGCTCACTGGCCGGTCAGCGGCCAGGGCAGCCCGTCACCTGTGTTGCCTCCCCACCCCTGCCCCCAGATCGCTTGCCCCATCTTCGCGGGCCTGCTGCACTACTTCTTCCTGGCTGCCTTCTCCTGGCTGTGCCTGGAGGGTGTGCACCTCTACCTGCTGCTGGTGGAGGTGTTTGAGAGCGAGTACTCCCGCACCAAGTACTACTACTTGGGCGGGTACTGCTTCCCTGCCCTGGTGGTGGGCATCGCAGCCGCCATCGACTACCGCAGCTACGGCACCGAGAAGGCGTGAGTGCCCCCTCCACCCAGTCTCTCCTCCTCGCTGGTTCCCTGCTCAGCAGCCTCCCTGGGGCCAGGAACCTCAGGGCACTGGCCTCCCTTCTCCTGAGCTCTGGGGCCCCAGCCATTAGAGTCCCTGGGCCCTGGGAGCCAGAGGGAGGGAAGGGCGCACCCCCGTCCTGGGAGCCAGAGGGAGGGAAGGGCGCACCCCCGCCCCCCATCTCACTTCTCCCCCCCCACCCCCACCCATCCCTTCCCGGCTCTGCTTGCTTTACAGTTGTTGGCTCCGAGTAGACAATTACTTCATCTGGAGCTTCATTGGGCCCGTCTCCTTTGTCATTGTGGTGAGTTGGAAGGCAGTATCCCCAGCGTTGAGTCTGTCCTTCATCCAGACCAGCTCTGACCCCCAGACCCCCATTCTCCCCAAGCCCTTGAAAACTGAGCAGCCAACTGAGGCTAAAGGAGCAGCTTGCATCTGTAAAGCTCCAGCACTGAGGCCTGTCTGTCTAGGAGCGGTGGTGTGAGCTCCCGCTGTGTCAGGCGCTGGGCCCTGTCCCCCAGCCCCGAGAGCCACATTAACAGTTGCCCCAGTTGTCGGGCACCGAGGGGCAGGAAATGGCAACCCACTGCAGGATTCTTTCTTGGGAAATCCCACGGACAGAGGAGCCTGGGGGGTATAGTCCATGGGGTCGCAAAAAAGTTGGACATCACGGAGCACACACAGCAGCAGAGGGGACCCTGAAGCAGGGGGTGGGAGCTGAGATGTGGTCAGGAGCCGCTGCTGGGAGGCAGAGGGACTGCGGGCCAGCCCTCCCCTTGCCCGCCTCCAGGTGAACCTGGTGTTCCTCATGGTGACTCTGCACAAGATGGTCCGGAGCTCGTCCGTGCTCAAGCCTGACTCCAGTCGCCTCGACAACATTAAGTGAGCACCCCTCCCCACACCCCTGCCCTGGCACCTCTGAGCTGGGCCCAGCCTCTCCTAGGCTTTCCTGAAAGGTGGTGTTCTCACCTCTGGTGTTGCTTTTTAAGGACAAAGGTGGTGTTTTACTATGTTCTTTATGTATCTGTTTAATGAGTATTTAAACATGGCGTTAGTACAACCAGCACATCTGAGTTCACAAAGCAAGTCCAGGGAGTCCCCTGGAGGTCCAGTGGTCAGGATTTGGTGCTTTCACTGCCAAGGGTGTGGGTTTAGTCCCTGGCTGGGGAACTAAAGATCCTACAAGTCGTTCAAGGTGGCTGAAAAAAATATGCGAGTCCGTTTCAGGGTAACTTAAAGACAAATAGGCAACAGAAGATAGATTAAAGGTTTGGAAGTGTGGCCAAGAGGATGAAGGATGCAGGAGAATGACCGGCTATTCAGAGAACCCTGACCGCCCCACCCCCCACCCCCACCCCCCGCAACCTCCACATGCCCCTCAGGCCTAGCTGGGCTGATGAGCGTTGCTGGGCAGGCCCGCTTACGCCAGGGCAGTGTCCAGGCTTGCTGGAATAGGGACACATAGCAGGGCATGGCGGGGACTCTGATGTCCTATCTCCTCCCCACCCTCCCAGATCTTGGGCCCTGGGGGCCATTGCGCTGCTCTTCCTGCTGGGCCTCACGTGGGCTTTCGGCCTCCTCTTCATCAACAAGGAATCGGTGGTCATGGCCTATCTCTTCACCACCTTCAATGCCTTCCAGGGGGTCTTCATCTTCGTCTTTCACTGCGCCTTACAGAAGAAGGTGAGTTCCAGGGAAGGGGGCCAGGGGCCTGCCTTCTGCAGCGGGACCTGTGTCTGCCTGGAGAGAAGCACAGGCTCAGGCAGATTCTAGCTGGGGGTGAGGAGGGTTCTGGAAGAGAGCAAGATACAGGAGCCCAGAGGAATGAGAAAGCAAGACAGATGTGGAGTCAGGAGAGCTCAGGGCAGGGACTTAGCTTGGGGTGTAGATCAAGCGTGTGGAGGTGTGCCTGGGTGCCACCCAGACAGAACATTTCCTACTTTAATAGTCGCAGGGTAAACCGTGAGTTTTGTGGTGACAGGAAGTTTCCTTTTTAAATAAAGGGTGTTAAAGTCTGAATCTTTAAAATAAAGAGGTAACAGAAGCAGAGGAATGTGGAGAAGAGCATACAGGCTGTAGACTCAAGACGGAAGCCAGGGGAACGGGGCCAAGGAGTGTTAGACTTCATCTTGAAGGAGTGGGGAGCCCCAGTCAGGCCATTGTTGATCTCGGAGGACAGTGAGGTGGGTAAGGCTACATGGGGAGTGAAGAAGGCAGGGATCACTGGTCTTGGCTGCGAGGTCAGCTGTGTTCCCGCTCTGATCAGAGGTCCTCATGGGACACACAGCGACAGTGACAAGCTTACAGAGCTCCCCTGCCGGCCCACAGGGTCCAGCCTGGGCTCCCCCTTTCCTTCCCTTTCCTCCTGCCATGCTGTGTCTTCTGTTCCCTCAGACACTTAGACGTGGACCTTCCTCAGGGCTTGTCCCCTGCCCCTCCCCAGATATCTGCGGGGCCCACTGCCTTGTTTCTTTCAGGTCTTTGCCAAAATGTCTCCTTAGTGAGTCCCCCCGCTCCCCCATCTGTTGGACATCACCACCCCCACCCCTGCCACCAGCACTGCCTAACCCCCGGCCATGGTTCTCTGAGCAGACATCCGATATAACGCACTGATGTTGTAGATGTGTTCAGTCTCTATCTGCTGGAAGATACCAGCTCTGAGAAGTAGGGCTTTGTTTCTGATTTGCATCTGTCCTCGGGGCCTAAACCACACTTGGCATATAGAAGACGCTCCTTGAAGATGTGCTGAGCGAATGAACAGAGAAGGACTTAATGGTGAAGGTGGAGAAAGGAGGATGGGCCTGAGTGAGAAGAGAGCCTGCTAGGCTGACCGCTGGGGGCAGGAGGAGGCGGGGGGTTTCTGATGCCCACCAGGAGCCTGGTCTCGGGACTGCCAAGGCTGGGGCACCTCCTGCCAACTGCCTGTCGTCCTCCCCCCCCGCCCCCCCCGCAGGTGCATAAGGAGTACAGCAAGTGCCTGCGTCACTCCTACTGCTGCATCCGCTCCCCGCCCGGGGGCGCGCATGGCTCACTCAAGACCTCAGCGATGCGGAGCAACACCCGCTACTACACAGGGACCCAGGTACGCAGGCAGGGCCGGCACCCCGGGGCTGAGGGCCGACCCGAGGGGGCAGGGCAGTTCTCCGCCCGGGTCCCTGGTGGTGCCCATCAGGCCCGGGGAGGGCAGGTGGCCCGAGGGCCCCTCACATCTGGGTTACGTCCCCAGAGCCGAATCCGGAGGATGTGGAACGACACCGTGAGAAAGCAGACAGAATCCTCCTTCATGGCAGGCGACATCAACAGCACCCCTACCCTGAACCGAGGTGAGGGGGCACTCCTGAGCCCCACCTGCGCTCCCTTTGAGGTTCTCCCAGCTGCCTCGTGACCTCTTCCCTCCTGGGCAGGTACCATGGGGAACCATCTGCTGACCAACCCTGTGCTGCAGCCCCGTGGGGGCACCAGCCCCTACAACACCCTCATTGCCGAGTCGGTGGGCTTCAACCCCTCCTCGCCCCCAGTCTTCAACTCCCCAGGTGAGCGCACGCTGGTGCTGGGAGAGGGTGTCAGGTCTGGGGGTGGGGAGGGTCTCTATGGGGGTCACCCTCGTGCCTCCCGAACTGGACAGAGCCTAGACCCGGCATTCTGAGCCTGCTCTCATCTCTCTCTTCCCTCCTGGCTGGCACCTGCAGGGAGCTACCGGGAACCCAGTAAGTGTGACCGTTTCCTGGTGACATTTCCAAGGGTGGGAGGGGAATGCGACAGTGGCCACCTCTGGTGACCCCATCTTAGAAGAACTGGGGTGCCCCCCACACACAGACAGGAGTCTCTGGCTTGGCAGCTGGCTGGATGATGTTGCATTAGGTGGGGGGAAGGTGATGGAGATCATGGGAAAGGGGCCTGGCCACCCAGGCTCATACTGCTGAATCTCCAAGCCCCCAAGTGGGAGGGGACCCTGGGGAAATCGGTCCCCACATCCACCCCCACTCAACCTTCTGCTGAGCTGGTATCCCCACTGCCAGTGAGGGAGAGAGGGAATAGAAGACCCCAGAGCCCAGGGACGGGGTGAGCCCAGGGAAAGCAGGGGAGGGCAGACACCCGCCTCCCATGCGGCCCACAGCCCGCCCGCTGCCCAGGTGCCCGCCTGAGCTGCTCCCCCCTGCCTGCAGAGCACCCCCTGGGGGGCCGGGAAGCCTGCGGCATGGACACGCTGCCCCTCAATGGCAACTTCAACAACAGCTACTCCTTGCGAAGCGGGGATTTCCCCCCGGGGGACGGGGCCCCTGAGCCCCCTCGAGGCCGGAACCTGGCCGACGCCGCTGCCTTCGAGAAGATGATCATCTCGGAGCTGGTGCACAACAACCTGCGGGGGGGCAGCGGCGGGGCCAAGGGCCCCCCACCACCGGAGCCGCCTGTGCCGCCAGTGCCGGGGGGCGGCGGGGAGGAAGAGGCCGGCGGGCCCGGGGGCGCTGACCGGGCCGAGATCGAACTTCTCTACAAGGCCCTGGAGGAGCCACTGCTGCTGCCCCGGGCCCAGTCGGTGCTGTACCAGAGCGATCTGGACGAGTCGGAGAGCTGCACGGCGGAGGACGGAGCCACCAGCCGGCCCCTCTCCTCGCCTCCAGGCCGGGACTCCCTCTACGCCAGCGGGGCCAACCTGCGGGACTCGCCCTCCTACCCGGACAGCAGCCCCGAGGGGCCCAGCGAGGCCCTGCCCCCACCCCCACCCGCACCCCCTGGCCCCCCTGAAATCTACTACACCTCGCGCCCGCCGGCCCTGGTGGCCCGGAATCCCCTGCAGGGCTACTACCAGGTGCGGCGGCCCAGCCACGAGGGCTACCTGGCGGCCCCGGGCCTTGAGGGGCCAGGGCCCGACGGGGACGGGCAGATGCAGCTGGTTACCAGTCTCTGAGGGACCTCACGGACCGGGGGCTGGTGGCCCGGGCCAAGGAGGGGCCCCTGGGTGGGGCTCTGGTGGGAGCGGGAGACAGATGGAGACAGTGGCCAATGGGCCACTCTCTCCAGGCGCCCCTTGGCCGTGGGCCCTCCAGGCCCCTTGGGGGCTCCACTGTGGGGGCCCGAGGTGCAGGGTTCACAGACAGGGTTTCCCACCAGCCATGTGCACCAGCTCAATCCGGGGGAAGTGCAGTGAGGAGCCAAGAGGTCCCCAGGGGAGTGAGGAAGGAGACATTGGAAGGGTGCAGCCCACCCTTGACTTCCCCCGCCCCCCTACCCTTCCTGCTCCCTGGAGGGAAATGAGGGTTCTGCTTGCCCTGGGCCAAAGGCCCTGCTGGATGAAGCCTGGCAGCTGCTCCTCTTTGCAGCCGGAAGTGCTGCCGGCTGCACCCAGATGGAGCAGTGGGCGCAGGACAGATGGACAGGTTCCTCTGCACTCCAGTTCCCTGCTCCTCCTCAGAGACTGGGGCCTCTGGCCTGGGGGAGAGCCCTCAGGGGGAGAAAGCCCCAGGGATAGAGGAACGGGCAGTTGTGGCTGGTGGTTTACAGGTGGAACTTTCTCTGAAGCTCCTTCTCTCTGCTCTTCGTCCCCGCTTTCCCGGCAAGCCTGCCCCCTCAGCCCTCCCTGAGTGCACCCAATGACCCCCTCCCTTGGGGCGACTCCTGATGAAGCACAACTCCCCGCAGGGCCCCAAGCCCACAGGGGTGGCCATATTTGAGCAGTTCCCAGTCCTGTGGGCTCGGCTATCTGGGGAGCAGATTCTGGGTCTGGAGCTCCCTGGGGAGTGGGTCCTGGGCTTGGATCTTTCCCTAGGGGGCCCTCTTACCCCCCCCTCCTCCTCCTCTTCCCCCATTGCTGTAAATATTTCAATGAAATGGAAAAGAAAAAAAAAAAAAAGACAAAAAAAGAAAGAAAGAAAGAAAATCTCATCACTTGAAGCCACCGGGAGCCTGCGGCCCGGCCAGCCCGGGATTTCTCCGGAGCAGAGCTGCGCCGCTGGGCCCTGGCAGCCAGGACTTCTCCATGTACGTGTGCATCCCCCAGCCGGGGTGGGCGGGCCACCAGAGCAGCTTTTTACAATCCAGAGACAAACAATCTAGAAGCAACATCGAAACAAAGAACCCGTTACCTTCCCCTGGCACCTGGTTCTGTCGCCTCTCCCCGTTCCCCCTCTCCCTGGCATCAGTCAGCCCTCCTGGGGCGTGTACCTCACTGCCTGCCCCAGGGCTCGGCCCGTCTCCCCCGCCCATCCCTGTGGCCTGGGGAGGCACCCTCATGCCCAAAGATGCTTCTGCCGAGATGGCTGCGCTGTCCCTTTTGAGTTCCTGCTTCTTGTATATTGCTTCTGGGACTCTGGGCCTGGGAAGAAGGGGCTGATTTCCTGCCTAGAGAAGTTGACAGGGGAAGGAAAATGAGGGCAGCAGTGTTTGCTGGGCGCGGGTAGGACTGAGAAGGACTGGGAGTGGTGAGGTGGTCGTCTCTCACGGGGTGGGGAGGCCAAAGCTGAGAGATCGCCTTGCCTGCCCCCACCCTCCCGCAGGAGAGGCAAGCCAGGTACTAGGGTCCAGCTGCGGTGTCTCCTGAGGACCTCTCCCTGCCCCCTCTCCAGTCTGTCTCCCTGGCCTTCCCAGCAACCCCCCCCCCACCTCTTTGGGGGTAGCATAGTCCCATTGCCATAGCCCAGCCCTGTCATTGCCATTTCCCCAGGGGTAGCCCTCCACCTTTGCTCTGACCCCTCATCTCTTTTGTCCCTCTTTTCTCACAAGTGCCATGAGTTTTCAAACATCTTTGGGTCTCAGCCTGCTGCTGCCATGAACTTCTTTGGGTTCAGGGGGAGGGACTCTAGGGAGGAACTGGGGAAAAGGGGCGGAGAGGTGGCTGGAGGGACCCTTTTTGCTGCTAGAAAGCCCCTCCCTTCTCCTGAGGAGCTGGGGCTGGCTGGCCCCTATCAGTTAGGGGAGAAGGGGCCAGACCAAAGAAGGTGGTCTGTCCTAGGCCAGGGGACAGGTGTGGGGAGAAGCTAAGGCTGGGTTCCATCTGTTTTCTGGGAGGGTTGACCCCTTTCACCAGACTATGGGCAGGTCTGAACGGGGGAGGGGAAGGATGGGAACGGTCTTGCCCCGGTGGCTCCGTGAGGAAGGTATGGGGCTGCTCCATGGCTTTCCTTGACTTCATTAGCCCAGAACTCCTCTCTGGGGACTAGAGAGCTGCTGGGAGACATGGGTAGGTGGAAGGGTGGGCCTGGCCCAAGCATTGGCCAGGCTAGAGAGTCAGACTGCCTCTGGCACCAGCAGAGAGGTCTGGAAGAGGTGGGGGGCTGGGGGGAGAGGTCCCAGGGGACTGGAGGCAAGCAAGGCGTCCCGCTTCCTCTCCCCTGCCCAGTCCCCCGTTTATCTCTCCAGACTCTGACAATCAAGGGGAGAGAGGGTGCAGCAGGTCCCGGGGTTCCCGTTCCAGCCAGAATCCCCAAGGTGGGTTCCCAGGCCTCAGAGTTGTGTGGCAGGGCCCTCTGGTCGGTAGGTCTGGACACACTGCAGCCTAGCACGAGGCTACCCTGAGCGCCCAGGTGTCCCCCCACCCCTGCCAGACCTGGTGCCTTGATGCCCCCACCCCAGCTGGGACAGTATAGAGGAGGAAGGGTCTTGGTTTCCTCTCCTACTCCCTTCCTTGGGCTCCTGAATTCATTTGCTTTGAAATTTTGTTAATTATTTTTCTCCGGGTTTGGTGTTTTGGGGTTCTTTTTTGGGGGGGGCGGGTTTGGTTTTCTTTGCCTTCCTTTCTCAAGTGTCTCCACCTCTTCCCCTGTGTCTGTCTCACTGTCTCTGTGTTCCTCTTCTCTCACCCTCAGTTTCTCTCTGTCCATTCGGGCCTCCTCCCCTCTTCTCCCATGACCCCAGTCCCTCCTGGTCTCCTTTTCGATATGCCAAACCAATTTTGGGTCGAGTGCATTTAACGAGAACAAAACAAAAGGCTCATAACAACAAGAACGTTTCAGAAAAAAACAAAAAGTTAAAAAAAAATTGTTGAGTCAAAAATCAATAAAGAAATTAAGATTTCTTGGAATGACAAGAGTGGCATGACTCATTGCGGTGGGGGGGGGGGGGGGTTGGGGGTGTGGTGAGAGGCGCTTGAGCAGCTCTTCACAGAGCATCCCTATGGCTGTGACAGAGAGGAGCCTGCCCTGCTGCTCAGAACCCATGGCAGAGGCCTGAGGAGTCAGAGCCATCCGCGTGCCCAGCACTTGGTAGGCTCAAGGGCCTAGCTGGGCAATTCAGGTGCAATTTCTTTTCTCAAGCCTCATAAGTGCTCTGGGTGGAGGGTACCAGCGCTCCATCTCACAGGTGGGGAAACAGGCTTCTAGCACCTGGGTGCACATCCCCGCCTCTGGGCTAGGCCACTGTGCCACACTGTGTCTCAGCCAAGCCCTTCTTGGCCCGGATCTCTGTCCAAAGGCCATGTTAAGAGCCAAGCCCAGGAACCATATGCTGTGCCATGTGTGATTCCAGCTGCCATTCCTAGACTCCCACACATTACTGGAGTGGTGCATTTTTTATTGTGACAGCACAGTGGAATGGCATCATGTGTATTTCACTTTCTCAAATATAGCAGCCAGTGTTCAGAGACAGGGGAATGACCAAACAGCGAAAGAACCTCTCTCCATGCCCATCTGCCCTCAACACAGGCATCTGGGGTGCCACCCTCCACCATTCCTCTCCCCAGCTACTCCTTCCCAGTCTCCACACTGATTCCCTCTCATCTCCTGACTTCTTAATGTTGACAGGCCCAAGGGTTCAGCCTTGGACCTTTACCTACACTCACTCCCTGAAAGATCTCATCCCATTTCATGGTTTTAAATACAGTTGACCCTTGAGCAACACAACACCACACAGGTCCACTCAGATGAGGATTTTTTTTTTAAATAAGTACATTGGAAACATTTTTGGAGATTCGCAACAATTGGTAAAAGGTATAGCCTAGAAATATTAAAAAAATAAGAAAGGTATGTCATAAATGCATAGAATATATATAGATACTATTTTATCATTTATTACTATAAAATGCAGGCTTTCCAGGTGACTCAGTAGTAAGGAAACCATCAGCCAATGCAGAAGACCCTGGGTCAATCCTTAGGTTGGAAGATCCCTTGGAGAAGGAAATGGTAACCTACTACAGTATTCTTGCCTGGGAAATCACCTGGACAGAGGAGCATGGCAGTCTACAGTCCATGGAGTCACAAAAGAGCTGGACATGATTTAGTGACTAAACAACAATCATAAAATATATACATATTGATTATAAAAAGTTGAAGTTAAAACTTATCAAAACTTCCAGACTTACAGACCATACATGGGCACCACAGACCACACAAGGCTCCCATAAAGCAATCATTGCTGCTTCTTCATTACCAATGTGTGAAGCATTATACCTGTAAATAAAAATGAATTTCTTTTTCACAGTTACCTAATTTCATTTTTGATGTCCAGTGTTAGGAATATGCATAACATCTACAGTGTTTTTTGTATTATATAAGAAAACATTGATGTAGGTACTGAGAGACAATTCATCTGGTAGACAGATGAGGTAAACTTACGGTATTGATAAATATAGTATAGTATTATAAACGCATTTTCTCTTCCTTATGATTTTAATAGTTTCTTTTCTATAGCTTACTTTACTGTAAGAATACAGGATATAATACATATAACACACAAAATATGTATTAATTTACTATTTATGTTATTGGTAAGGCTTGCAGTCAACAATAGGCTATTAGTAGTGAAGTTCTGGGGGAAACAAAAGTTATACATGGAGGGACTTCCCTGGCAGTCCAGTGGTTAAGACTGTGTTTCCACTGCAAGGGACAAGGGTTCAATCCCTGGTTGGGGAACATGCTGTGTAGTGCAGCCAGAAAAAAAAAAAAGTTACACATGGATTTTTGATTGCACAAGGGTCAGCACCCCAAACTCCTGCATTGCTCAAGGTCAGATGTACTATCTATTATACTGATGACTTCCAAATATAGAGCTCCAACCTGAACTTCTATCTCGAGCTCTAGATTCATTTACATCCAATGAACCACTCCACATCTTCCCCTGGATGTCTGGTAAGATCTCAAATGTAATGTGTCCTGAACCCAAATACACACACACTCACACACACACACCTGCTCCAGTTCTTCCTACCAGCTTCACCTTGATTAATAGCAAGTCCATCCTGAGACTCAAGATGCCCCTTGGAGCCTCCCTTGAACTTACTCGCTGTTTCGTACCCCACGTCTAATCTGAAGCAGATGCAATAGTGGCTTTAACTTTTAAAATACCCAGAATTAACTAGTCCTCACTACCTTGGTCCAAGCCCCCACCTTCTCTCACCAGGACCATGGTAACAGTCTACCAACTAGCTCCCTTGTCCCTCTTCAGGCTTTTCTCAACACAGAAACCAGAGTGATCGCAATAAGCATATTTTTGTCCCTCCTCTGCTTAAAACTCTAAAGGCTTCCTCCTGGCCCAGAAAAAGGGGCCAGGACAATAAAATGGTCCACAAGGCTCTCCAGTATCAGATCTCATCCCCATGGCTCTCCTCCTTCCCTCCACTCCAGTCACACTGGGGTCCTCACCATCCACAAACATGCAGACAATCTCCTGTCTGCCTCAGGACCTTTGCACCGGCTGTTCCTAGGGTTCACCTCTTCTCCTGGCAGGGCATATAAAAATCAGAGCTTCCCAGCAGGCCTTACCAGGCTACTCCATTTAAATGGCAATTGTTGCTTCAGAATTTCCTAACCCCTGTCTTGCGTTGTCTCCCATCTCACAAACTATCTTTTTTGCTTGTTTATTGTCTGCCTCCCCACCTCCCACACTAGAATATAATGCACAAGTCATTTCCGATTCTTTGTGACCCCATGGACTATACAGTCCATGGAATTCTCCAGGCCAGAATACTGGAGTGGGTAGCCTTTCCCTTCTCCAGGGATCTTCCCAACCCAGGGAAGATTGCAGACAGATGCTTTACCGGCTGAGCCACAAGATAAGCCCAAGAACATAATGCATAAGGGTCTTTTTCTTTTCACTGCTGTTTCCTACTGTTTAGCACAGTGTCT